GGGGGGACACATCACCACAGTCACACAGGAATTCCGCCCACACCAAGTGGCTGCAGGGTCTGGCCCAGGCTGCCCTGCTTGACCTCCTCCCCAGCTGCCGCCTTGCTCCAGCCGCCTCTGGGGCATCGCTGACGCATCCCTCCCCGGGCTGTGTCTCCCATCTGTTAAACGAAGGCAATCCTGTCTCTCCCCAGGGCCTGGGTCAGTGTTGAGCTACCAGCTGCTGAGTGGTCAACTCCCACCACCTTCACGGCTTAAGAGTAATAGTTTCTATTATTACTCTCAGTCCTGTGGGTGGAGCGGGCTCGCCTGGGCCATTCTCTTGGTGTCCCTTTTGCAGCTGTGGTCAAACGGCAACCTGGACTGGAGTCCTCTGGCTGGTTGTCCAAGATGATGTCTTCCTTACAGGTCTGATGTCTCAGCTGGGATGTCCTTGAATTCTCCCTGTGGCCATTTCCTGTGGTTCCCTCCCAGCTAGGACAGTCTGTAGTCTGACTTCCTACATGGCAGTCAGTTTCAAGAAAACTACGTAGGCCGGGCAAGGTGGCGCACACCTGTAATTCCAGCATTCAGGAGGCTGAGGCAGGAGGATTGTTGCAAGTTTGAGGCCAGCCAAAACCGCATTGTGAGACCCTGTCTCAAAAAGACAAGAAAAAAACTTAGGGAGAAGCCAGACATGGTGGCACACATCTGTGGTCCCAGCACTATGGAGGCTGAAGCAGGAGAATCTCAAGTTTGTACCCATTCTAGACAATGACTTGGCAAGACCTTGTTTCAAAAAAAAAAAAAAAAAGATGGTGATATAGTGCAGAGGCCTTGGGTTTGATCCCTAGTACCACAGAAAGACAAAAGGAAGGAAAGGGAAGGGAGAAGGATTGGGAGAGAGACGAAACCCAGGTGGCACCTGTACACCTGCTCTAATCAAGGTTGGGCAGCTGCGGCGTTGCTGCCACCGTGTTAGTCAAAATGTCAGCGAGCCAGCCCAGGGGACAGGACAGCAGCAGGATGCCAGAAGGGCGGGCCATCAGAAACATGTTCATCCTCAGCCACCTGCCCGGCTCCTCCTGCACGCAGCCCTCAGATGCTGCACTTCCTGCTCTGCCCCGGCTCCCTTGACCTTTTTCTTTTTTTTTTTTTTTTTCCTTTTTCTACACCTTCTCTTGGGATGACCCTGATTTCACCCTTGGCATTTGTCACCAGCTGTGCTAACCACTCTCGACTGTCTCCAGCGCAGACCTTTCTCAGGAACTCTGGACCTGGGCTTCTCTGTCCAAAGGCCACCGCCAAGCCTGTCTTCCTTCTACCCTGGTCAGCTTCCTCCCCCTCCCCTCCCCTCCCCCCCTTATCCTCTTCCTCCTCCTCCTCTTCTGCAGTACTGGAGACTGCACCCAGGGCCTTCACACTGAGCTACGTCCCCAGCCCTTTTTAAAATCGTTGCTTTTGAGATAGGGTCTTGCTGAGTAGTTGAGGTTGGATTCAAACTTGCAGTCCTCCTGCCTCAGCCACCATTCCAGCTGCTCTTCAGTGAGTGCTCAGCCCATGAATTCACCTCTGGGTGAGCCCTGGGGACACAGCATGGACCTATAAGCATCCTGTCTTCAGGGTGTCTCAGTCTGCAAGGGAAGTCCCGGTAGAATCTGAAAGACCATGATGAGAGGTCAGAGGTCACAATCAGCACGAAGCCTGGGGCAGCCTGTGAGTCAAGGGAGGTTCTTGAAGGGGGCTGGTGTGGTGGGGACCCAGTGTCAGGCACATGGGCGTCTTCCTCAAGGGCCCCAGGGGCAGGAAGGTGGTACCAGCAGGACCACACAGCTGCGTGTGCCTGAAGCTGTGGACGAGTCAGGGAGGAGGTGCTGGTGACCTTGTGTCCTCTGGCTTCATGTCTACCCTGGGGCAGCTACAGGGGCTTCTTAGGTGGCAGTGCCCCGGCTCAGGACAGAGCCCTGGGCGAAGCCGGGACTTGGAGCACGGTGGGCACGTGGGAACTATTGAAGGCCTCAGATCAGCTCAGGGAGCAGCACATAGCCGGAGGAGAGCGGAGGACAGAACCTTGGGGAAGCGCCGCATTCACAGGGTGGAAGGAGGAGAAAGGACGGAGAAGCTGAGACACACAGCAGCCAGAGCGAGCAGGTACTTCGGAGGAAGCGGCCCACAGGGGCGGGAGGGAGCTGCCAGGGGCTCTGAACCTGTCACCGTGCGGAAGGCGGAGGCCCTGGAGAGAAGGTGCTGGGAGGGCAGCCTGGCGCATGCAAGGGCCCCTTCTGCAACGGTCCGGGGCCTCAGTGTCCCCAGGGCTGCTCTCTGTCCCCGCACTCCACTGATCGCTGACGCTGTGGCCCAGCGTTCTCCCTGCAGGGCCACTTCTTTGTCACCAAGGAGTGTCCTGCTTCCTTTGCAAAGGCCAGAGCGCCTGTTAGCCCAGTGCCACCCCAGGAGCTGTGGGGCCGTCCGCTTGCCCTTGGCCCCAGGGTCCTGCAGGGAGGGGACACTGTTGCCTGATAGCAGCGCATCCTCGGGAAACACCGAGGGTGCAGACCCCAGCGGCTCCTCTTGTTCACACCGCCGCCCTCCCTGCTGCCTACCCTGACCCAGATGCCTTCACCTGGCACAGGTGCTGTGGGGCAGGGTGTGGGGGAAGAGCCCAGGGCCAGGGGTCAGACAGCCCTCCATGCATACCCTGCCCGGCTCCACAACCTTGGGCTAGTTGCACAACCTCTTGGTGCCTCAGTTTCCTTGTCTGTAAAACAACAGTAGCTACCTTGCTAAGTGTCATGAGGATCGAGAGCAAGCTGAATAGTTCACTTTTTTTTTTTTTTTTTGAGACAGGGTCTCGCTATGCTGGCCTTGAGCTCACTATGTAGCCCAGGCTGGCCTCAAACTCACAGCAGTCCTCCTGCCTCAGCCTCCAGTGGCAGGATTACAGGCGTGTGTCATCATGCTTGGCTGAGCTAAATAGTTCATGCAAAATGCTGTGTTTGGTACCTAGTTAAAATACCAAATATTAGCTGTTATGGAGATAGTTGTAATTGTTGTGAGGTGAGGATTGAATGAAATGATGCATTTAAAAGCTTCTTGGCTTTTTGGCTAAGATCTTATAGTATCTGTTCTTATCACTTTAAAATGCTTGACACTGCCGGGCAGGTGTGGCGGCA